TCTATTATGCTGGTTTTTGCCTTAAAGTTTATTTTTTCAGAGGTTAGTATTGCCACTCCTGCTCACTTTTTATTCCAATTAGCTTAGTATATATTTTTTCCATCCTTTAACTTTTAGTCTATTTTTGTCTTTGTGTGTAAGGTTGTTTCTTGCCGAGAGCATATTGAAGGATCTTGTTTTCTTATTCATTCTACCACTCTCTGTCTCTTAACTGATGCAATTAATCCCTTGACATTTAGTGTAATTATTTATAGGTATGAATTTATTGCTGTTGTGCTGCTGGTTTCTTTGTTTTGCATGCCTTCCTGTGCTGAGTTCATGTTTTTTGTGTCCTTTCTTGTCAGTTTATTCATAGTTTTAATGTTCCCATGTACTTTTTGGATTTTCATTTTCTTGGTATGTTGTAAAGTATTAGTTTTCTTTGAGGTTACCCTATATTCTATTACCTTTTTCTTCCATTTAGAACACTCTGTTTTATCCTGAAATCTACATAACCTTCTCACCACCTGGATCTGTGTTCCTATGTTTTTACCTTCTTTCACATTGTAATTGTTTTCATCATAAACTGACCCCCCAGATCCTCTGAATTTGTTCATATAGTTTTGTTCTATTATGGATTCTTCCATCTGATGATCTGAGTTCTAGGTGCTGCTGACATGTATGTCAATATCTGGTAGTTGTCTGTTTTTGTTGGTATTCAGTTCAAAGAACTCCCTTTAAGGTGGTTTAAAGTGCTGGGTTGGTTGGCTTTGGCAAAATTCCTTAGCTTCCTTTTATCTGGGAAAGTTTTTATTACACTCTGGTATTTGATTGACAGCTTTCCTGGGTAGAGGATTCTTGGTTGGCAGTTTTTTTTTTTTTCTTTCAGGGTTTTCTATATGTCTTCCCCATTGCCTTCTTGCCTACATGGTTTCTGCTGAGAGATCAGAGCTTAATCTGATTTGCTTGCTTTTGTCAGTAACACTTCTCTTTTCCCAAGGATTCTCTCCTTGTCTTTAATTTTGGAGAGCTTGATTATGATAGGTCTTTGTGATATTCTTTTGGGATCTATCCTTCCTGAGGTTTGTTGAGCTTCTTGAATGTGTAGCTTTTCATTTTTCAAGATGTTAGAGAAATTTTCTTCCAGAAGCTCAACTATCTCTTTTGTGGACTTGTGTGATTCTTCTTGTTCTGGAATGCCAATAATTCTTAAGTTATTTTTCTTCATGTTGCCCAACATGTATCTTAGACTTTCTAATCCTTTTTTCTGCTTGCTCTTCATCTTAAATGTATTGAGAGATTTGTCTTCCAGCTCGCTGGTTCTGGCTTCCATCTCGTCAATTCTACTTCTTTGCCCTTTCAGTGTATTGATCATTTCTCATATTTTATTATTAATTGTTTGGACCTCTTTTTGCAGGTTTTGAATTGTTTCCAATGCTGTATCTATTTTATTTGATTGTTCCTACAGCACTTTCCTGACTTTTTCCTTATTTTTCTCAAACCCTTTGTGTAGAGTATGGGTGCATTTCAGTATCATTCTCCTGAATTCCTTCTCAGGCAGTTCTAAAACTGCCCTCCTTTCAGTGGGAAGTCTAAGTATACCTTAAGCTCATTTGTGTTACTTACTCTAACCTATTTCTGGACATATGCCAAAATGGACAATTATTTTTTGGTCATCTTCAATAATTAAATGAATGTATGTTGATATTTTATTAAGGTTTCTGATTGCCTTCAGGTAAATGTGATCAGGAGATGGGCTTCTCTTTTCTTATTACTAAACTCAGAATAACTATAGTAGGTGTTGACTGTCTATTGGGTGTATTGTCTCTTGCCTGGATGGGGGGATTTTACAGGGTGTGATTGCAGCTTGGCTATATGACCACAATTGCTATCTATTCTTGGGTAATGTAGGGAGAGAAAGAGTCCCCTTAAGGTAAAAGGGGACCAAAAACAAAACAACAACAGCAAATAACAAAAACAAAAAACAGATTCGATACTACTGTCTATAATCACATAAAAGAAAAGGGAAAATTTTAACGCCTCTTTCTCATCCAGCTTGGCCGTTCTGGGAGAGCATTCTGTTTTTAGCAGTTCCTGGTGACTCCTCCCTCTTCTACAATTCTGGGCCCCAAAATCTTTGCTTGGAAGATCTGTGCGCATGCATAGCAGGACCTTTGGGCAGGGAGGGTGTGTCCACTTGCTCAGGCACTCCCTCTAGTCACCATCTAGTCACCAGAGTGGAGGTGTGTAGACAGTGAGAGACCAAAAAACAGAGAAAAGGGGGATAAAAAAATGTCCTCCGCACCTTTATCTCAGAGGATCCTCAGAAGTCTGAAGTGGGAGCTTCTCTGACCCTTCTCACACTCCCTCATGCCCAAGATGGCCACTCCAGGAGCTGGCTGACGTGGATCAGAAAACAGCATTTCTTGTTTGTGCTACACATTCCACGGGCTTTCTACTTTCTAAATACTCCTTTATATGTAGTTCTGAGTTTTGGGACTGTCCCCTGAACTTGCTTTGTCTGGTATTCTGTGTTATTGCTGCAGAGCTTTGTTCCCTACGTCTCACTAATCCATTAAGCCCCACCTCCCCCATGAATCTACTTTTAAGAATCATATGAGTTCACTTGTTATTGTTGTGCTATCAAGTCAGTTCTGATTCATAACAACCTTATGCACAACAGAATGAAACACTGCCCAGTCAGGCACCATACTAACAACTACCAGCTGTTCATCAGGAGAAAGATGAGGCATTCTGCTCCCGTAAAGATTTATAGCCTCGGAAACCCTGTACAGGGTCGCTATAAGTCGGAACCGACTCCACGGTACTTAGCAACAACAACAACAAACTTTACTTGCATGCAATGTTAATGGTATTTTCCTATGATTTCCACATTTTGTTTTATCACCTCTCTTTGGAATGGGCACAAATATGGATCTCGTCCAATCATTTGGCCAGGTAACTGTCTTCTAAATTTCTTGACATAGATGAGTGAGTGTCTCCACTGCTGCATCAGTTGGTTAAGAGATTTCAATTTGTATTCCATCAGTTTCTGGAGCCTTGTTCGTTGCTAATGCCTTCAGTGTACACTGGACTTCTCCCTTCAGTACCATTGGTTCTTGATCATATACTACCTGTTTATATGGTTGAACATGGACCATTTCTTATTGATACAGGGACTCTGTGCATTCTTTCCATCTTCTTTTGATCCTTTCTGCATCATTCAATATTTTGCCCAATGTTGTTAAGTGCCGTGGAGTTGGTTCCAACTCAGTGACCCTGTATAGGGTTTCTGAGGCTGTGAATCTTTGCATGAGCAAAGTCTCATTTTTCCTGCAGTGACTAGTGGGCTCCAACTATCGACCTTGTGGCTTGCAGTCCAGTGTTTAACATATATTCACTACTTTCCAGTTGATTCCAACCCTAATCGAGTAGAACTGCCTCATAGGGTTCCCAAGTTCATAATCTTTATTGTAAAGTAGACTACCACCTCTTTCTTCCGTGGATTGTCTGGTGAATTTGTACCACTGACCTTTTGTTAATATTTAAGTGCTTTAACTGCTTTTCCACCAGGGCTCCTTTCTTAGCATACATTTGTGGGTGCTGCATATACGAATAGATCTACATGTATAACAATTCACATTAAGGGGCAGTTTTACAGGCTTTCTAGACATATCCACGTAACTGTAAGATTGGTATACTGATTCAAGAGCCTTAGGACCATTGTCTCAGGGGGTAACTTAGAAAACTGGCAAAATACAGTTCACAAAGAATGTTCTGCATCTGAGTTTGATGAGTAGTATCTGGGGTCTTAAAAGTTTGTCAGCAGCCATTGAAGATGCAACTATAGGTGTCTACTCATACAGAGCAAGAGAATGATGGAAATCGAAGGATCAAAGAAATCAATTCACTGACCTAGTAGTCCCCACAAACCCCCTCTTAAAACCTGAGACCAGAACTACATGATGCCCAACTACTGACTGTTCTGAACAGGGGCATATTAGAAGGTCTCACGTAGAATGGAAGGAAAATGTAGAACAAAACTAAAATTCCTTAAAAAGGACAGACCTACTGGACCGAAAGAGACTAGAAAACCCCTGAGACTATTGCCCTAAGATAACTTTTGAATAATGGAATCGAAGCTATCTCTGTGGGTCACCCCTCAACCAAATCATAGATTGGCTTATAAAATAAATACTATCACCTGTAAGCAATGTGCTCTCTCAAACACTAACTATATAAGACCAAACGGTCAGCATTTACTCAAATACAAAGGTGAGAGGGCAAGAAGGGGAAAGGAAACTAAAACCAATAGAAACAGAATAGAATGAAATGACAATGCTGACACATTAGAAAAAGTATAATCCATGGCATGGAAACATATGGGAAAAAATTGTTAAACCCACTGCAGTTGATTGTGACTCAGATAAACCCTACAGAACAGAGTAGAACTCTCCTTAGATTTTCCAAGTGGGTAAATCTTTACAGGAGCAGATCATGTCAACTCTTTCCGCAGAGCAGCTGAAAAATGCAGATTTTTCCTTGGAAAATTTTCCTTTGATGCCATATGTTGTTGTTATGTGCCATAGAGTCGGTTCCGACTCATAGTGACCCTGCACATGGTTTTTGAGGCTGTAAATCTTTATGGGAGCAGAAAGCCTCATCTTTCTCCTGCAGAATAGCTGGTAGTTTCGAACCACTGACCCTGAGGTTAGCAGCCCGATTTGTAACCACTATGCTACCAGAGCTTCTTTTGATGCCATATAGAATGAACATAATAGAATAGAGAACTTCCCCACAAAATAATTTTCCAGGGAATTTCATCAAAATGCTCAGGGACACTTTTCCTTAGCCTCAGAATAAGCTTGTTAACATAGCTGATCTGTTATTTCAATACACAAAACAAACCTATTTTCAGAAAATAATAGAGCAAAGCAGAAACTGAACACTTAAAACAAATTTTTGGCATCTCAGTTTATTTCACTTAGCACATTCCATTCAATGGACATTAACTGTAATGCTTAAAAGTCAGTTCAATTAGGATCCTTTTTAGTCCTTCATCAATTATTTCGAGGGTTCTCGTCTCAAATACATTCCTTTCTTCTACAAACTTCTGAAAGAGATGAACACCTCCACCTACACCAAAATAATGTGCTTTGCTGGCCAAAAGCACTCGTCCATTTTTATCTAGCAGCTTTAAGAATGTTTGGTGCAAACTGCTATAATAATCTGGATTGTAAATGGTTTCTGAGGTAAGAATGAGGTCATACTTTACAAAGGGTTTTTCACTGCTTAGTACAAGTCCACAAAACTCAGACCACTCCCCAGAAAAGAATCGGCATTTAAATAGTTCTTGGGCTAGTTTTGATTTCCTGCCTCTTTTCATAATTGGTTCGTTTCTATCATTTTCTTCTTCTTCCAAAGTGGAGTTAGCCACCACATTAGGTACAGTTACTTCATCAATCACCAAGCTGTTGTAATCTTGAAAATGAATTTCTTTGGCTCCTCTCTTAAATGCCATTATACCCAGTAACCCGGAGCCACAGCCAAGATCCAGCACTTTTTTTCTAGCAAAGTTCAGTTTGGCCTTTGCAAAATAAGCCAAAAGATCAAAGGTACATTCCCAGATTTTTAAGCCTCCTTCATAAACACCTGTAATCAGATCAGAGTGAGAAGAAAAGCATTTTGAAACTATGTTTTGTCCAGGAAACACGTTTAATGTTGAGACATTAACATGCTGGAAACCTGATAAAGTCTCTACAACTTTATTTTCTAATAGTTTCTTCAAATCTTGAGGCATAGCATGCTCTTTGGCAACTCTCACACAAGGTTGCTCTTTATGTGGCTCTGGGTTATTTGAACTATCAGCTGCATTGAGTGGACTGTCTCGGTCTTGAGAGGGAACTGCATTTTCCACTGACATATGTTCCCTGAAGTGATTCTGAGGCAAGTCAAATTGTTTGGGAGAACATTTTCTATCCCCCCGGTTTCCTTTATGACTTTCTGAGACTGCTGCCTCTTTTGAAGAACCCAGAGTCAAATCTTCATCTCTCAAACATGTCAATTCATCTTTCAAATGGTCTTCTATGGTGAAATTAAATTGAAAGGTCATCCTCTCGTTCAATAAACACCCTCTTTAAATTCAATGGAGGATCCTTCAAATTTTGGATAGAACTTGATGACACAAACCTGCTTCAATTATTCTATTAGTTTTGTTGGGACCAATTCCTTATTAGATACTTATACACAGTTACAAATAGGCCTGGATAAAAAGAAAGAAAGAAAATGATTATTAAAGCAAAATGTCACCTATTTCCCTACAATGCAGTATTAAACAACCCCCTGTACATCTGCCTCTTCTACAAAAGCTGAGGGTGGAGAGAGAGATGGAGATCTGAAACAAGCAAACAAAACAAAAGCAGCAGCAGTAGCAGCAACCACCACCACCAAAAAATATAAAGTCCAAGATTTCTGGGCAGGAAAGGGCAAATCTAAAACAAAAAAATTGAAAAAAACCCTGAAGAAAAGCAAGCGTCTTTCAGTTTTGACAACACAACCCCTCCCTAAACACTGCAAGAAACAAACCCGTTGCTGAATTGATTCTGACTCATAGAACTCCTGAACAATAGTCATCCCTTAAACTGCCAGAATTTCTTCACGGAAGTCATTTACTGTTTCAAATAACAAGAATCAAGTCTTTATCTTGTTTAGAGAGCCTATCTTTAAAAACATACACAAATATGCTCTGGTGTGTATAATGTTATTGTTGTTAACTGCTGTAGAGTTGGTTCTGACCCATAGCGACCCTATATAGGGGTCCCGAGGAATGGCTGGTGAGCTTTAACTGCTGACCTTGAGGCTCATACTGATTTTGCAGTCCAGCACATTAACCTACAACTCCACACCAGGACTGGTGTGAGTATATTTATCCAAGTGACTTAGCTATGTTATGGTGGTGGTTATGTGCCGTGGAGTCGGTTCTGACTCATAGTGACTCTGTACAGGGTTTCCGAGGCTGTAAATCTTTACGGGAACAGAAAGCCTCATCTTTCTCCCGCGGGACAGCTGGTAGTTTCGAACTGCTGACCTTGCGATTCGCAGCCCGATTCGTAATCACTACACTACTAGGAATAGGGAAACTTTGGAATAATTAGTAAAGATTATTTGGTGGTAGAAAACACAGCTGATGTTCAATTGACTCCTAACTCATGGTGACCCATGTGTTATAAAGCATAACAGATCCGTAGGGTGTAATCTTTATGGAAAGGAGCCCTGGTGGCTCTTTAGGATAAGTGTTACCCCATATTCTTGGGTCTGATGCCCTGGATTTGCCCAATTAGTAATTGTTTCCAGGTGAAGTAGAAAGAGAATAAGCCTTTATTAGAAAGCCAACTAAGTGGAACATCCACAGCAAGCAGGCTGATTTAATTGGTATTTAGATTTCTTCAGTCGATAAGGTGCTAGTTTTTAACAATGCTAGGCACATATCCCCTGGTAATGTAGTGGGTTTATGCGTTGAGCTGCTAACCGCAAGGTCAGCAGTTTGAATCCACCAGCTGCTCCACAAGAGAAAGATGACGTTTTCTACTCACCAAAAGATTTTCAGCCTCAGCAATCCTATTACAGGTACAGGGTTGCTCTGAGTAGGAAATGACTCTCCCGCATGCAGCAGGCACAAGCATCCAATGCAGGTACTCTTACATTCTGTAAAGTGGATGATGTACAAGAAAAGTACAATTGTACAAAAAGAACTCTATGATTAATTATCCTGATGCCTCCACTCCAGTAGTTAGTCCTTATTCAAACAAAGGGACTAATTTTCAGGCACAATTTGTTGTTTAGTGTCGTTGAGCTGGTTGCGACTCACTTCTGAGGAGTGGCTGGTGAGTTTGAACTGCCGACCTTTTGGTTCAAACCAACCTTGAAGTCCAGTGCTTTATCCTACAGCACCACACCAGTACTCTTGTTGTTGTGTGCTGTGGAGTTGGTTCCGACCCATAGCGACCCTGCACAGGGCTTCAGAGGTTGTAAATCTTTACAGGAGCAGAAAGCCTCATCTTTCTCCTGCAGAACAGCTGGTAGTTTCGATCTGCTGACCCTGAGGTTCGCAGCCCGAGTCGTAACCACTACTCTACCAGAGCTCCTACACCAGTACTCTAGCCACCCTTAAATAGCTACAACTCATAGCTAAGAAACAAGAACAGTAGAAAGGGTTGTATAAGATGCTTTCAGACAGGGCTTGGTTATGTTTATTTTTGTCAATTCATTCCGAAACAGAGCAACCCTGTATGAGGTTTCCAAGGAGTGGAGGGTGGGTTGAACTGCTAACCTTTAAGTTAGCAGTCTAGTACTTATTCTACAGCGCCACACCAGGACTTCATATTTACTCTTGGCTAAGCAAAACAGTTAAGCTCTCCTAAGAACAGGACAGCTTTCTTATCCTAAAGATTTACAGTCTGGCGCGCTGGTAGCTTAGTGGTTACAAATCGGGTTGCGAACATCAAGGGCAGCAGTTCGAAACTGCCAGCTATTCCAAGGGAGAAAGATCAGGCTTTCTGCTCTTGTAAAGATTTACAGCCTCCGAAACCCTGTACAGGGTCGCGATGAGTCGGAATCGACTCCACGGCACATAACAACAACAAACCCTATATAGGGTCGCTATCATTGGAACCGACTGGATGAAGGTAGAATTTTTATGGAAGCTGATTGCCTATTGGGCAGAATAGAGCTGCTACTTAGGGTGTCTGAGACCGTGTACAGAAGACAGTCTCATCCTTCTCCAGAGGCGTCACTGGTAGGTTTGAACTGCCAACTTTGTGATCAGCAGTTCATTATTTATCCTACAGTGCCTATCGAACAGCAGAAATTTACTGTGGAGAGACCTTGAGAACTTTGGTACCTGCATTGTGCACACAAAACTATTTACCGCTTCCAATTTTCGCAATTCTGGCAGATGGGATGTTTATTACTACCATGACACAACTTTGTGCCCACAGAGAAGAGGGCAGGAACGTATCTTGTCTCTCTACCCCACTAAACAGCGGGGCTTGAAATCATTTCAGCCTGAGGTCCCAAGTTAAACCCGGTTCCAGGTGGGCAATCTCAAAACCCCAGGGGAACGATGGCAACACATTGTGGCTGCCGGACCTCACCTCCCCAAAGCATCCTACCTACATCGAAACGTTTATAGGGACTCAAATTTGGGATCGCTCGCTGACGTCCACCACGCTTGAATCGACCACCGCGCTTGAAAAACGCTGCGCCACGCCGGCTCCTGAGACCAGTGAGCGGAGTCCTCCGCAAGCTAGAGAAGCCCTTGTTTCACTCCCGGCTCTCAAGACCTAGGGCAGAAGATGTGAGTCGGTTTCCTTAAATATTACCGCTTTGAAAGGCTATGGGGGAAATTCTATTCTGCTCTATAGGGTCGTATGAGTTTGAATCAAGTTCACGGCCACATGTTTGGTTTTTTTTTTTCTTTGTTTGAGAGGCCCGGACTCACGGAATAACGCCACCCGCTTCCTCTCTATGGTTTTGGTGCCAGAAGAGAGGTCGCAAAGGCTGCCGGGACGGTAGGATTTTCCGGTCTTAGCTGTGGCGGGACTGGTTTGAAGCTGTTGCTTTGTGGAGACTATGTCTCAGGATCGCGCGGCCCCAGCGAGCGAGTTTTCCCTGGAAGAATTAAGTAGCTGGCCGGAGGAACTATGCCGCCGGGAACTGTCGTCCGTCCTGCCTCGGCTCCTCATATCCTTGACTGCCATTTCCATCTAAGAGTGTGGAACGGCGTCCCCGGTGTTTTCTTCTCTGCCCTCTATGTTCCCCGGAAGGCCCCGCGGTGTTCCTGCGGCCTGAGTTCTCCCCGCTCAGGGTGCATACCGGGGTTGAACTAGCTAGGGAAAGGAGGCTGGGCGAGAGCTGTAGGCGCTTGTGATCGAGGGCATACCTGACTTTGGCTCTGGAGGAGGCTCATGGAAGTTTCCAGTATTGTGGTTATGGAGAGCGGTGTGGTGTTTTCTTCCATTCCTCAGAGTTCTGTACATGTCAAGTGCAGTTTAGTATAAACACCTTTGCCTTTGGGGACCAGGGGAGACCAAGACTCAGATATGAGCTGTAACACCAGCTGGATGAGGTAGAACAAAAGAGAGCGCAGCCATTATAATCTGTTAAGTGGGTGAATAATTGGTTAGTGGCATGAGTCGGGGTTTCCAGGGAGCGGGTGGTGAGTTTGAACCGCCGACCTTGCAGTCCAATGTGTTAACTCGCAGCGCCACCTCAGGACTCCAGAAGTGGGTGAACCGGGGAATTAAATTAAGTGTTGTAACACAGTTCTAGCATAGTGCCAAGTCCATAAAAGTTGTTATGTGCTGTGGAGTCGGTTCCGACTCATAGCGACCCTGTACAGGGTTTCTGAGGCTGTAAATCTTTACGGGAGCAGAAAGCCTCATCTTTCTCCCGCGGAATAGCTGGTAGTTTCGAACTGCTGACCTTGTTGTTCACAGTCAGATTCGTAATCACTACACTACCATAAACAAAAATATTATCTCTCTCCCTCTTGTCAGGACCTCTTTTCCCTTTTTGCAGGTTAAAAGGAGTTGTTTCTCTTGGTTTTCGGTGCTAATTGACTGCTCGGTTTGAATTGTTTTCGATCTACTTCGTAGATAGTTTCATGCTTTGTGGTAAATATACCTGGAATCAGCTCTAAATATTAAAATGTATTTTTTACATCTTTCTTTAACTCACGTTAAAACTACACTCAAAAGGAGGTGGGGGAAGACTTTCACTTAAGAAATACTCAACACTGCACAGATAAAGATACTTTTTTACAACAACATTCACCCTAACTAAATATTGGCATTATATCGAAGTCATTCATGGAGGCTTTAGGAAAATCCCACTTGTTACCAAAGCCCCTTTTGAGTTATTGGGGTGGTGGTGGTGTGCGACGGAGTCAGTTCTGACTCAACGATCCTGTATAGGGTTTCCCAGGCTGTAAGTCTTTACAGGAGTTGAAAGCCTTATCTTTCTTGTGTGGAGCCACTGGTAGATCAAACTGGGAACATTGTGGTTAGCAGCTTAGCTCGTACTCCATTACATTACTAAGAATCCTTTAGTTGTTAAGTGCCATCCAGTAAGTTCTGACTAATAGCAACCCTACATAGGGTTTCCAGAGAGTAACTGGTGAGTTTGAACTGCCAACCTTGAGGTTAGCGATCTAGTGCTGATCCTACAGTGCCACACCAGTGGTCCTTACTGATTGTATAGATAGGGAAATAAGTAAAATATCATTGCTGCCCTCAGGAGCTTTGACTTGGAAAACAAATAGCTATGTTTCTAATTAAAAATATTCACTGGTTTGCGATATGTACCAAATAGGAGCCCTAGTGGCACAGTTGGTTAAGCACTTGGATCTAAGTGAAAGGTCCTGGGTTAGCCCCTAACTCACCAGCTGCTCTGTTAGAAAAGACCTGGCAGTTTGCTCCTGTTAAGTTTATAGCCTAGCCTTAGCACAGGTCTGTTGAAATACTAGTAGTTTCCAGTAAGGTTCTTTCTTATTTGCTATGTTGTGAGAAAGGCAGCGCTTTATTCTTTTTTTTTTTTGTGGTTGTAGGAACTGTTCCAATTAATTTCAGGAACTCTGAAGCATTTGTTTTGGATTACAATGAGTAATGTATCAACAAATGAGATAACTGGTAATGGAGTTTTGTTGCTTGAACACTTTTATCAACCCGGGGTAGGGATACCTTAGTTTTTACTTTGAAGTAGACTCACCTTATCTTAAAAAAAACTGAGAGCTTCTAGTCTTAATGTTGTCTCGGATTCTGAATGATCCAAAACAAAGGCTCTATTAGCAGTACTTCTAACTGAAAGAGTTTTCTTCCCAGTGCCTGAAATGAGGTTGGCCACTTTCTCCAGGTCAACTCAGGGGTTCCTCTCTGCTCAAAGGTCCTAAGTAGATAAAGCTGGCATTTCCACGACCACCATTGCCATAACGCAGATCCCTGCGCCCTACTGATTATTCTGCCTACTCAGAGCTCGGAGCGCCAACACAGTGCCCACTCTGGTTTGATGATCTACGCAATGCTCCCAAATGCTCATCATTCTTCAGTCTTTTTCCTATTCCTTCAGGAACTGCCTCTGTGCAGCTGTTAGTGATCCTAATCTTTAAATGGTACCTGCTGAGCTAACAAGAAAAAGTTTATAGCCTAGGAAGCCCTATGGGACAGTTCTCCTCTGTCACATGGGGTCGTTATACACTATAGTGTAAATATGTCTTTCATAAGCACTGGGAAATCAAAAATTCATGTGACTTGCTTTAATACAATATTCACTTTATTGCTGTGGTCTGGTACCAAACTCTAATTATAAAAAACAACTCACCTGTTCCTCCCTAGCTTTCCTTAACTTAGAAAAGGGTTTTAAACCGAAATCTTGAATCCTCTCACTTAACCTCTATGATGCCTTACTCCAGACTTTATGTTGAATGAATCAACTTTTCTCTCTCTCCATTGCTACCACTCTATTCCAAAGCCCCCTCACCTCTCACCTGGATCATTGTTAATACTCCATGTTTCTACTTCTATAATCAGTTATCCAGAAAAAAGTTCAGAGTGACAAATGTAGATCATATCTTCCTTTTTAAGCCACCCCCTTAATACTGCAGTGGTTTGTTAATACATTTGGAGTTCAATCCAAATTTAAACCTTAAAGGCTCCCCGTGATCTCTTAGCTTTCTCTTGTGCTTAGCTGACTTCAATCTGGTCACAAATATACCAAGCCCACATACCTCATGATCTTTGTGCTTGCTGATCACCCAACTTGGTTCTCTCCTACATGCAGGAGTTTCAGTCTGATAATATTGTTGAGATATTCATAAAAATAATATAAAAAGAAAAAAATAAGTAATTTACATGATATAGACAAAATGCTATAGAAATGCTGCGGAGATAGACATTTCTTGTATTAGAACCCAGAAATCCAGATGTATTATGCTACTCTTATCTGTGAAATGTTTCATGGATATTTGTTGTTTGAAACGGCAAGCTTATCCCTGAGCAATTTTTAAAATGTTGCCCTTAATATTTTCATAATATTGTTTATCTAGTAAGCATTGGAGTCTTGGTATGGCATAGGATAAGCACTGGACTGTTAACTACAAGGTTGGGAGTGTTGTTGGTAAGTTCTGTTGAGTTGATTTCAACTCATCGTGACCCCGTAAGCAGCATAGAATGTTTTGTTTATGAAGGAAAACTTTTCTTAACTTTTTACAACGGTTGTCTCATGGAATATTTGCCCTTTTGTGATTGACTAATTTCACTCAGCATGATATCCTTCAGGTTCATTCATGTTGTGAGATGTTAAGTTATGTAGTATTCCGATCGTGTGTATATACCAAAGTTTCACCATTCTCTGGTGGTGGGCATTTGGGCTGCCTCCATCTTTTTGCTATTTTGAATGGTGCTCTAATGAGCCTGTTGTTGTGAAGCATCATTGAATCAGGTGCCACTCATAACGACCCTGTGTAGGGTTTCCAAGGAGCAGTGGTGGGTTTGAACTGCTGATCTGGAAGTTCAAACCTACCTTACAGTTCAGTGCTTGTGCTATAGTGCCACACCAGGACTCCAGAATGAACATGGGAGTGCATATATCAATTCGTTCCACAGCTCTTATTTTTTGAGTATATATATACTGGGTCATATGTATTGCTGGGTCATATGTATTGCTGGGTCATATGATTGCTGGGTCATATGTATTTCCAACTTTATGAGAAACCGACATACTATTATCTACAGTGGGTACACAATTTTACAGTCCCATCAGCAGTGTAGGAGGGTCCTAGTCTCTCCACACCCTCACCAGTGTTTGTTGTTTTGTTTTCTTAAACTTTGCTATTAATGCTGAAGTCAGATGATATCTCAAGTGTTTTGATTTGCATCTTTCTAATGGCTAGTGCTTATACATATTTCTTTATACAGTTGTTGGGTGCCTGACAGTCATCATTGGTGAAGTGTCTCTTCATGTCCTCTGTCCATTTTTAAATTGGATTATTTGTATTGTTGTTGAGACGTTGAAGTGTTCTGTAAACTTTAGTGAATGTAAAATGTGGGTTCTCTTTTTACTCTTTAGGTGAAATTCTTTGAAAGCATTGTTGTTAAGGTGGCGATGAGTCAGTTCTGACTCATAACGACTCTGTATAGGGTTTCTCAGGAGCAACTAATGTGGTTTTGAACCACTGACGACTGTGGTTCAAACTGACCTTGCGATCCAGTGCTTATCCTATAGCGCCACACCAGGACTCCATTAAGTTTTTAAGAACAAGAGTTGTTGCTGCTAAGTGCCATCAAGTCTGTCTCAACTCATAGGGTTTCTGAGGAGCAGTTGGTGAGCTTTAACTGCTCACCTTTTGGTTCAAACCAACCTTGCCCCAGCACATTAACCTTCAGCGCTACACCAGGGCTAACCATAAGGTTGGTTGTTCAACTCCGCCAGCTGATTTGTAGGAGAAGGATAAGGCTGTCGGCTCCTCTAAAGATTGAATGTCTGAAACCTTACATGAGTCAGAACTGATATGAGTTGGAAGCGACTGGATGGTGGTGGTGGTGGCCCATTGGCTAAGCACTTGACTGCTAAGTGACAGGTCCATGGTTAGAATCCACCAACGGCACCATGAAAGACAAGATTTGGTGATCTGCTCTTGTAAAAATTACAGCCTCGGAAACTCTCTAGGGCAGTTATACTGTGCCCTGTATGGTCACTGTGGAGTCCTGGTGTGGCGCTGTGGGTTAATGTGCTAGACTGCAAAGTCAGTTTGAACTGCAAGATTGGTGGTTCAAGTTCACCAGTCGCTCCTTGGAAACCCTCTCCAGTGTCGCAATGGGTCGGAACCGACTCTACGGCACGTCACAACAACAACATACAGTCACTGTGAGTCAGAATCAACTTCAGAGGAGTGGGCTTTGGTTTGGAATGGTTAAAAAAGAAGTCGTGATGCGCTGTTTATAAGTGCTCAGTTGTCAGCCTAAAGGTTGGCTGTGTGAATCCACCAGCTCCTTTGTGTGGGTAGAAGATGGGCCCGTCTATTCAGTCTTGGAAGTCCTATAGGGCAGTTTTACTCAGTCCTACACAGTTGCTATTGCATTTTGGACCTTCATCAGATATATGGTCTCCCCAAAATGTCTCCTGGATCCCTATGTTGTTGTTTTCCTTTTCTGATGAAGTCCTTTGATGAACAAATAATGAATTTTTATGAGGTCCCATTTATCTATGTTATATTGTCTTTTGCTGCTCTTGCTTTTGGTGTTATATTAAGCTACTAATTTGATTAAAATTCCAGTGTTTTATGGATCATTGTTTAAATCCCAAAGGTTTTTTTTTTTTTTTAACATTAGTGAATTTCTTATTATTGCATATGCTAGTGTCTTTCCTTAATCAGTATACTCTATGTATCAACATTCTGACAGTTGGATCGAGCATATTCGTAAGTAGACTTATTGTAATTAAGATCAGTGTATAGTTTACTTGGATGTTATCTGAGTCTCACATTAGTTGATTCCGATTTATAGTGACACTATATGGGGTTTTTGAGACTAAATCTATACTGTAGCAGACAGCCTAATTTTTCTCCCTTAGAGCAGTTGGTGGGTTTGAACTGCCATACTTGCAGTGCTTATCCTACAGCTCCATCAGGGCTCTGTATTCCTTCAAATTTAATTATTCCCTATGATAAAATGGATAAGCTAACCAAAAGGTCCGTGATTTGAACTCACCGGTGCTCCATAGGAGAAAAATGTGGTAGTTTGGTTTCGTAAAGTGAAAATTTCAGTGTTGGAAACCCTAGGGGCAGTTCTGCTCTGCCCTGTGTAAAAGTGGCTGAGTTGGAATCTATTGGGTGGCAACAGGTTTGGTTTACTGTAGTGTTGTGACTTCAGTGAACTTAGAGTGACCACTTTTCAGTAAAGTACAGTATTTAAAATAAAAGATTTAAATTTGACTTTGGGTGTAGACACCAAGTATTTGGTGATGTATGTGTAAGCACATTGCAAATTTTTTATGTGTTAACAAAGCTATGATTAGGTGTAGATGTGTATTTCAAACAATGTGTAATCTATTTGATAGGCTTCAGCTTTTAACAAGTTTAGAGTCATCCAAAAATAATAAGTCACAAAAAGCTAATTGCTTTTATCATTTGAAGGAAAATGACTGTCATTTTTAGCTGTGTTCATCAGTGTTACTTGATGTAATACAGTCATTTAAGCAAGAGAGTAAAGCTTGTAAACTGTGATTTATCATGTATTTTCAGTTTGCTTATTCTATATACATTTCACTAGATTGTGAAATTTTTGTGTATAATTTTGAATCTGTGTTGCCTGTTGAGGTATAATTTTTCTTTAAGTAGCAGAATTATTTTTATCCTGACTATAAAAATTATGCATGTACATTGTAGAAAATTGTAGACATGTAGAAAACTACAAAAGACGATAAAAGGTCCACTAATCAGAAATGGTTGTTAAAATTTTGATATAAAAAATACTCACTCACTTCTATATATACCAGCTAGCCTATTATCAACCTTTGTATGTTCATGTTTTTATATATTAAAATTGGTATCATTCTATTTTGGAACCTTTTTGTTTAGCCCTATTATGAATACTTTTTTCATTTCTTTAATCTCTAATATCCTTTTAATGATAGCAGAATATCAGATTCTGTAATCATCTGTTTAGCTGGTCCCCAACTGTTGAACATACAAGTTGTTTGTTTTAGACAGAGTTTTATTTCAGATACTTAATATTGCTCAGCAAAAAACGTGACATTTTTGAAACTATATAGAGAGTTTTATATTGGTTAAATTATATAGAGAGTTTTATAATGGTTTATGTTGAATTTGGTGAAGAGCAATGATCTTTGTTGATTAATATAACAATATTTTTATAAAATTTGTAAATATTTTTCTTTATAGAACTTCTGAAAATTATCGTAGAAATGTTTCTGCCTCACATGAACTACCTGACTTTGGAAAAGACTTTGTTTTCTCAACTGTTACCAAAGGTATATTATTGTTTTTTAATCTACATGCTACAAAGGGTCGCTATGGATTGGAACCCACTCGACGCCAATTAACAACAACAACAACATGCTACAAAGTTTTTTAAAATCTTGTCTCAGTTTTAGATTATGTATTCTTAGTTGTGGCTCTGCTTTTCTAATGTATTGAATATGTTTTAAATACAAATGAAGTAGTAAAAAGTATTATCTCATATGGTGGTGTTAAATTGTTCATTAGGCAGTTAAAAAACAATTTTTAGATTGTGTCTTTCACTAATTGAACTTAATTATAGCTTGGTTTAAATTGTTAGATGCTAAGAAGGAGCTCTGGTAGCATAGTGGTTACGAATTGGGCTGCGAATCTCAAGGTCAGCAGTTTGAAACTACCAGCTGTTCTGCGTGAGAAAGATGAGGCTTTCTGCTCCCGTAAAGATTTACAGCCTG